AGGAATCATGATCAGGGGTCCAGTTCTGCACATATTTAATACCTAGAATAGCAATTAATAGCATGAGTTATCTTACTATTTTGGGCAGGACCATTAAAAATAAAGAATAAGAGCTAAGGTATTCCACAACATATTAGTAGAGAGTGTCCATTCAGTGTGCTATAAATCATCTGCAATTGACTGTACAACAGCTCCCTTGAAGAACCAGCCCATGCTAAACCAAGTATAGCATGTAACTTCAGCTATGTGAGTGACTGAGTGATACTATACGTGCACATAAAATTAGGCATGTAACTGCAGGGTAGGTTTTTACATGCTTGCTGTAGTCAGGGCCCCAGGTTCTCTGCTGCAGCGAATCTAGTCTACAGGATCTAACTAGTCTACTACAGGATCAGTCTTCTTCACCAGCAAAATACATCCAAGTGTCTAGTCCGTAATATTCTGTAGCTTTTATGAAGAAGTGAGGACGTGTTGCTTTGACAACAAAAAAACATGTATGTTGAGGAAGCAAGATTGTTCTAGTAACTTTTATAGTCCAGCCAGCTAAGTGGTTTGCTGTAGATCTGGTGGAATTGATTTTATCTCTTTTCTCCTAATTTAAAGGTGATGTGCAAAAATGTATAATTTTGGTCTGTACAAATTATTTTTCTAGAGTTCATCCTCAGCCATTGATTTGTGTTGAGTTTTTTCAGATCTGAATAAACCCAATACACAAAAGAAGTTTTCTGGCATGAGTCTACATTTTTATACATTTGTACTATGATAGCTTTGTGGACACCCAGTGTAACCCAGTGGACACTGAGGTTACATTGTGCTATTTGCTTCATATATTTTTAAACACATAACCATTCCAGGTATACCCTTACTAGCTGTAGTTAGTTAAGAAAGGTAAGAAATATGACCATGTGCTTCACTTACTATGTATCAAAGCCATCCATCAATACCAGCTCGCTTGAATTTTGTCTCTGATTCAAGTTTTGTTTTTTGTGGAAGTGATTGGAACCAAATGAGTTATCTAACAAATGCTTCTCACAATGGTAGATGCAACCATTATGGATTTATTTATTATTTTACTGTGGAGAATATTTAGATTATTACAGGATTGGACATTCATTTCCAGTTGAATTATTAAAGTTATATGAGACATGTACCTGACTAGGTCCAATGACCCTTGCATATAGGGATTTACTAAGAGGGAGATACTTGAAATAACTATCAAATTATATACAAGCACTCATGGTTGCACATACTAGTAGGAAATTTGTTCCATGCTTTTACTTCTGTAATTATTTTGTAGTGAATGTAAGAAAAATTAAAGGAATAAAAATTTGTATATCTTTTATGTATGTACTTGTACAGAGACTTACATAAAACAATTATAATCAGTGTGATTATATTAATCCATGATATAAATCCATATTTACTCTTGTACTTTGCTTTAAAGGATTTTTTTTTCTTTTTAATTAGCCAGTGCTTCAGAGAAGAGATTAAGTAGGCTGAATGTGTGCACTGTCCTGCTGATATCTCTAATTTTTGCAGCTCAAACTTGTTAATGTTAATGTATGGATGAAAACACAGATTAAGACAGCATAAAATTCCTCTGTATATGTTTGACCCTTCTCGTTTTTGACTTACCAGTTTCTAGGTGTTGATTAAATAATGTATTTTTTCAGATATGTTCTTTGGAGTGGACCTTAAAGAACTTTAGGGATAGTTTCAAAAAGTTACATACATAATTTCAGCTTCAAAACTCTTCTCAAAAATCTCTGTTTAGCTGCCTGCTAACCCTACAGCCAATTAAGGTTCATAGCTACCAGATAGCTGTCCAGTGAAGTTTCTAAACATATACTGTTAAAATGTTCAGTAATACAGTTACTGTTAAGTAAGGCCTGACAAGACTAAAACCTAAGATACCTTCCTCACTCTCTTTTCCTTTTGATAAGATGAATTAGGTATTAGAATATCCAGCACTTTTTATTGATATCCAACCAATAAAAACAATCAAAAACATACTAATTTGCACATGGGAGGAAGGTGCTTTTGTGATTCTGGGTGTTTGTCTGATGTGGTAGGCTTCTAAATAACCTTGCAAATTCGATAGCTTGCTTCTGAGGATCTCAAACAATGTTAGACACCACCAAGAGACAATGTGAACATGACTGCAAAATTCTTCTCAGATTGCACAATAGTTTGATTTCAGGGTTATGAATTGAATTTGGAAGTTTGAGTTCTAGTTTTCTTTTTCAGGCAATGTGTGTACAGTTTATTCACAAAACAATCATACATACTAAAGAAAAACCACAACAGTATTTTAAACTTTTTTACAAAAAAAAGAAAATAACCTTGTGTCCTCTCTGGAAGACATTTTCTTTTCTTTCTCTCCTTCTCGTTATTAAAGAAGCAACAACTCACAACTGCAAAGTAATTCAAGCCCTTTCTAACACAATAAAAGACAAAAGTAGAAAAAGAGATGTGTTTATCTAACTTTAAATTCTTTCTATTGAATCATAAAACATCACTGTGTCTCATAATGACTCAGAAGTTTGACCAACTTTTAAAACTTTGACTGTCAAAATAGTGTCACCACAGACACCACTGAACTCAAAAGCCTGAACCATTACTAAAAAGTAATTTGAATTAAGAAAACTCACATCTATTACTGAATGCACAATTCTATAGCATATCTTATAAAGTGTCCTGGGCTGTGTTTAAAACAACAGCTGCTCAATAACCAGACCCCAGATCTGCTGGACAGTGATAACAATTGTGTTTTGTCTTATTTGAGCTGACAAGTACAGCCATCACCCACAGAAACGGTGCAGCAAGATAAATAAGCCATCCTTTCAAAACACTGTATAATGCTTACAGGTTCTTAAGGCAGTGGAAGAAAAATGTTAGTGCTATTCAGTATTTACGTTCATCTCTAAATTAACCCATCCAATCTGAAAAAAAACAACACAGATTTTTATTTTTCTGCAGTCTTTCTACATGCTCTTCAGTGTTACCTATTTTCGTCTAATCTTTTTGTAAATTCACTGTCCTAGTAATTTTATCTCCCACTTGATATCTTGATTTGACAAATTCTTTGTTCACTTCAGTTGTATCTCACTTTTCATTCAAGTACATATGTTTCTAATTAAACAACCTTGTTACATGTTGTCCTGAAACAGATCAGCTGTCCCCTGTGATCCATTCTGGGAATCTTAAGCACCAGCCTTAGGCAGGAATTCTCATTCCTTTACCAGCTTTAGTTGTTCTATTTTTTTTTTCCTAAAAAACATCCTATCTAAACATATTTAATGAAACAAATAATCCTAGAGCCTGTAAAAGGTGCCAGGGCTTATGCTACTGTTTTATATCTTGCAAGGATGTTAGGCCCACTGCCAATGTTAATGCAGTCCATATAAGAAATCTAAAAACCTCTCAGATGATTTAGCCATCCTACCAACAAATACTCAGCCATTCTGTGCTACTTTTTCACTGGGAAAAAGTTTTTGTTTTCTTTTCTTTTTTTTTTTTTTTTAAACTTGTCATTGGTGACTTGAGATTTTTGGTTACAGTGACGCTTCACTAAGGTGGTTACCTGAAGCTGTATTGTTGCCACCTAACTTGCAGTGATTACTACTGAAAAGCTGAAGATATAATGACAGTCAGAACACCATGTACTTTCTAGAATATACCACAGTAATTTCCTTTCCTAAGCATGTGGAAATAAACAGACACAACTACTAACTGTTGGCAAATGTCATATGCTGTATTATTTGCAGACAAACTAAAAATAAGTAATGAGCAGTCCAAAGGAGGTACTGGTTTTCCTTGCATTGTTACTGGTTTGAAACACCTTATCAGCTTACATACATATATATATTTATGAAGAATTGAAAATGATGTTAACATTACCACCAAAAAACATAGGAAGCAGTGAATTCTGATTTTTTGAAGCTGATAGATTCAAGATGAACAGTAGCTCCTACTGATTTTTAGAGTATATAGAAGTAGACATTCTAATTAAAAAATACAAATGGATGGTAACAAATATGAGATAGTCGCTGGTCTGATATCCCTGTTTAGCCTACTCCTAGTTCAAATTAGCTACCACACAAAAGTTTTTTTTTTTAACTTTTTTTTTTTTTTTTAACAGGAATATCATAGCCTAAACTGTGAAAACACTAAAGAAAGCCAGTCATGGTGTTAGAAGCAATTTCATAAGTTTTTCCTCAAATCCTCTTAATGCCAGAGGTGCCCACAAGCGATATGAACTTTCATGATCTACATCATCACCCAAACAACTTTAAAATCTGTTGCCTTTTTTAGATAATTAATACACTAAAAAAAACTGTTTGTTTTTCTCTGGGTGTCCATTATGGAATTTGTTGCTCTTATCCAATACAACACCTGGGTATAATTTACTTTTGGCTTACCTGGCAGTTTACCGGAATAGAATTTAGACTTATACATTCTTAAAAGGTGTTGGAAAATAGTTAACGTGAAAGTAATACTGTAAGTAGAAAGTGTTTGATGTTTTGTCTGAGTTGTGAAGTGCATTTATATGGTAACTGATCAATGGTATAAATTCATACCAGTTCATATCAAAGTGATTTAAATCACAGAGAATGTAATGTGCATTTATACTGCTCTACCCAACCTGTGGGACTTCAACCACTACTGCTAGCCTGGATTGTTCACAGGACAGCAAAATACCACCAGATTATCAATAGTTGCAGTGTTTACCCAGCTATCACCTTAATGGGATAGCACAGAGATTTGGTGAACACTCTGCCCAATCACAAAACTGATGTTCCAGTCCTACTCTATCACTGGAGAGATAGTGCCCGGCTATGTTGAATGTTGTACTATATTGTACTGAGCAGTGTAATGGCTTTGAGTTCTACTGTGTCTTCTAGTAAACGCTGAAAATGTCACTTGTGCATTTCCACAATGACAGCACTATGTTACAGTGACAGTGGTTTAATTTTAACAGATTTGTATGTGTTTTGCAGGAAAGAATTTACTTTGTTTCTTGCCTGAAAGAATTGACTGTGTCCATGTTAAGACTGGAGTCAGGAGTTGTGAATGGGGTGTCGATGAGTAAGTACATACCAACATCCGCTTGTCCTTCTGTAAATCTAGTCTACAAGTTGGTGCTGTACATGCAGAGCACAACAAAGCTCTTTGGCAGTCTTAAAAACTCTACTCGAAGAGGACTGTGCCAAAAGTGGTGAAACGCAAGTGCTTTTGCAAGACAATGCGGTCAGTACTTTAGCCACACAGAATCATTTGGGTTGGAAAAGACCTCTAAGATCACAAAGCACACAGATGTACTTTGCTTCCTAGAGTTTCTTTGCCTCCTAGAACTGACCAATGGTATAAATTCATACCAATTCATATCAAACAGATTTAAAACACAGAGAATGTAATGTGCTTCTGGTTGGCACATTCATGGCTGACATGAAGTGCAGCCCTATTAGCCATAAAGAATAATTACCATTTGATTTTTAAGGGCCAAGGCTCAGAAGGTCAAGAGAAAGACTGGCCCATGACTTCTAATTAGCAATGATGGAAAAGATCTGTCCCACTCAAGGCAAGAGATTTAGAAGTTAATTCAACAGAAATACATTATGTTTCTGAATACTAGTGAATAAATATGCCAAAGTATTAGTAAAGCACATTTTGAAAAGACACCCATATGTCTGAAATGAAAATATGTTTATATTTAAAAGATGCTGTAAAACATTTTTGTTTTGTAAAACACACTTCTTATAAAAGGAATATGGCATATAAACACAAACACATACATACACACACATCTGCACATGCATACTTCCCAAACCCATAAGATGTCTGTTTGAAAGATGTCATTTCTTTCAGTGACTTCAAGTTTCTTCAAGGCAGAAAACTATGGAAGATACAATATAGCTGAACATCTGTCTTGTCATGTAGGCAGATATTAGGATTAAATTAACTAGAAATGAATAGAATGATATATGACAGGGTGCAGATGTCCCAGCCACAGTGTGATAATTTCATTGCAAAACTATGTAATGAATTCCATATATTACAGAAATACAAATATACCACTTTAGGTAATTGTGATGAAAAGGTATAATATGGAATGGATAAACAGATGGTGTACCCAAAGGCATTTTTCGTTCACTATTGCTCTTTAGTCATTTTGAAATAACTTTATTTGGTTTACTTTGAGTCTATTATAACATCCTTTCTTTTATTTATATTTTTTTTTTCTTTTAGTTCTTCTGAATCTGGATTGCATGAGGAGCATTAAGGACCATTCTGCACGTCTGCTTTCCTGATAGATTGGTTAGCTCCCATTTTATTTTATATGCTGTACATTGCTATGCTGCATCTAAAGCCAACATTTCCGTGACTTCAGAACAAATTGGATTGATTCTAGAAGCCTTTTGGCTTTATGTAGTTTCTAAATTGGCACATGCTGCATCTGTGCTACTTGAATTAACAGAACTGTTCATATTTTACCACAGATTATTGGCAAATTTTCCTTTATTACTTGCAAATGGGTACTTTGGATAGCATGTGAGATTCAGTCAAGTCCTATCCATTTCTAACAGGTATATTAAAACATGATTATATGAGGCTATATTTTATGATATAAATGATGATTTGACCATCCTGAAAAAGAAAATACCTTTTTTTATATCTGGCAACAGGTGTTTTTAAGTGCTGTATATAGTTAAATGTACAACAGGACTTTACATTACTGTTCTTATTTGGAGTGTGTAGTCAGCCCTTGACCCCCATTTCTGTCCAAAGCCGAACTGCAGGGAGACCAATAACAGAGGGGCTACATGTAGAAACTTCATACCTACAAACTGTACCCATATATGACTGTGCTTTCAAACCATGCATATGTACTTGGAGGCTGGACTGAGGCCCGTACCAAAATGCAAACTTACAGTTCTGCCGTTAGCTGTAGATTATTTAGCTAGTATCACATCAACCTAGGAAGTAATAGCAAAACATTTTCAAATGGTGTGATTAAAAAAAAATCTAAAGTAAACTATTATTTTTTTTTCAGTGTTATTTTCTTGATTCTTATTCTAGTATCATAGCAATAATATCTGTAGCATTGGTGTTCACGTGCAATAAAACAGCTTCTGAGGTTATGTGATGCTTCAGCTTCAATTCAGCATTTAATCACCCGCAGAAGATATTTATTGCCTTGCATTCTCTTATGCCATGAACATTACCTCTTAATTATTAACCATTAACTCTAATCTTATGTCTATCTTTTAAGAAAAAAAATCATTAGTAATAGAAACAAAACATGGGTGTGTTAATTTTATTTCTTTTCTAAAGCAAATCGATGACTAAATACGGCAGTATTTTTGTTAGCAGCAGGACAAATACATGCAAGTACCCCACACATTTCAGTCACTGCTGCAGTGGTTGGTTTTATTGCTAGTTTTAATCGCTTTAATTCAATACAGTTTATATAGTGGTTTGATGAAGGTGCTAGTATCAAGTTCAAGTTCCAGTACATTAAAATGTTAACACACTGGTTACTTAATTTTGACTTAGAATCTCTCCTCATTTCAGTTTCAATGTTGTGGTTATTTTTTTCTATTTCTTAAGCTTTCAAATGAAGTTAATCTACTTAGAGGCATATGTTTTTAAATATGGAGATAGCACAGTTCATTTTCTCATGATGAAAGGCATATTTTAGATAATCATTTTTTTCCAAACAGATGCCCAGTTTATCTCACTTAAATCAACTGTTTCTGACTGGACCAATTCCTGGATGAGTTAATTGAGCATGGCTAAACCCAAAATGCTGGCCTAATCAAGGAAATAGGAAGAGGTGATGACTATGAAGATTCTCAGCTTTCAGTAAAGGTGTTTAGTTGTTTACTTATATTCTCACAACAGAAGGAATGTAACAAACGCAGCCCACTGGAAATAATTCTGGATAATCTCACTCCATTACTTTCGGTGAAATTGAGTCTGCTCGCTCTACCCTAGTGAACCAGCATCTCAGGGAAACACGAAAGTAATATTCATGCAATACAAAATGACAGAAGGAAAGGCAGACCGAAAGCTGTATGTCTTTAGCGTTCAATTTATATTAGTAGTCCACCATTATTGCAAAAACCTCCCAATGCCTATATTCAGCACAAGAAATCCGTGTTATTGGGAATGCTGTTCATTAATACCAAGCAAATGCCCTGCTGTCTTTGCACACATCGCAGCTGTTCACTTGTTCATTTTTCAGACTTGGAAATATTAGTTTGGAGAATGCTGATGTCTTGTTTGACTTTTTATTTTCCTCCTCCTAAGGAGTCCTCTTTTGAGAAGCACGTACTAAAAGAAAATCAGATTCTTGGATATCTTAGCTATAAAAGAGGGTAAGTTTCTAGTCTCAGTGCTTTGAATATTCTCATCTCACACTTTCTGTGATATAGTTCATAGGCAGACTGCCCATGGGACCATGCATGGAAATCTATCATCATTGCAGTCTTTGTACATATATATATATATATATAATATATATATATATATATATATATAAAAAGGTAAGATGGCCTCTGGAGCAGGAACTGTATGATGACTATTTTGGCTAATAATTTTGTACACATGTGTAATTATAAAACTGTTGAATTTTGCATTTTAGTATATCTAACTAAGACGATAATAGCTGATTCAGTTATTTCAAGTTACCCTTTTTTTTTTCCTGAGGTCTTTATTTCCTAAATTGCACATTTGAATTTGGCATTAATTTGAAGTAACTAAAAGGTGTGTCTTGTTCCAGATCTTTTACTAGAGTGACCACCGTTCTGGACAATATCCACCTGCAAGCTAGTAATTTCAGTAGAAATTAACCAGTATCATTGCTGATGTGTCAATGGCAATGCAGCTGTAGTTAATTTGTACAATATAAGGAAAGAATTTGGTTCTTCTCTAATGAAATAACCAAGTCACGACATTCCAAACTGTTCTGATGCCTGTGACCAAAATGAGAAAATGACAAACCTCTAGCTCAATTAATAGACACAAACACACTTAGAACCTTTGAATGGATCTTTTTGGTCTCCTGCTGGAGGGCTCTGTGATTGCTACATGACACATAATATTATTCCTATCGCTCATCTATTTTGATTTTGCATTTGAAGCACAGTCATAGAGTGATTAGCTATAAAAGTTCACACCTTTCCTTTGCAGTAGCAGGCCTATTGTCAAAAAAAAAGTTCAGACTACAGAAGTCAAGCAACTGTCAGCATCTGATAGCTGCTAAAAGTGCAATTTACCTGGGATTATCATAATTTCACCATGCTGTGAAATTTTGATCTGTCTGAAGGTGAGAACTCCATCACTTTGACGTGTTAATATTCAGTTTTTAAAAAAGATATTGTTTTTCTTTCAGAAAATAAAAGTGGTGTGAACACTAGCAGTCTATTACTTGTAAACAAGTTAACATAAGCAATACAGCATGTTTCTTTAGAAGAAAAATCTCAAAAACTTCGTTATTTCACAGACCTGCTATGGAGCAAGTACTTCCACTATGGAATGGTTCTGCTGATAGAGAAGTATGTGAACAGATGCGTGTCTACAGTGAGCTGGATGGTTTTGAACTACGCAAACTGGTATTCTTCCTGTCCACTACCCTCAATTTGTAATTTTGGACTTTCAGCAGATTTTTATTTTTTTCTTAATTTTAATTTTTAACAAATTACTGAAAAAAAAAAAGTAAGAAACAGAAATCCCTAGTCCATTATCCCCACCCCAAAACCCCAGCACTTGTATTAGCAGACATGCAAGGAATGGGCTTACAGCTCATCCAGTCCAGGTTGTTGAACAAGGCAGTTCTACTGGGTAAGGAATCAGTAAAGACTTGGCAGATAGGAAGAAGAAAAAAAAAAGAGTAATTCTAGGAGATGAGGTTATCAATTAAACAAGTTAATGGAATCACACCGCACATGAATCATAGATAATATGCTTATGAACATTTATTCATGTGCAAAGGCAAAAAAACACTTTTTATTATTTTATTTTTTTTTCTAGTTTGTTATAGCTTGCAGAGACTGAAATATCTGAGCACGCTCCTGAGGCTAATGATAAAAATACTAATAAACCTAGAGGTTTTGTTTTTAAATTTTGCTAATTTCCTGTGTGATTATTTATTATCAGTACTTACTTTCTTGATATTAATGAAGATGAGCTACAAAGTGGACTTGTCACCACGAATGAAAGTAGCACAGCTAGGCCTTAAAAGTGAATTTCTTCTGAACTGTTCCTGAATTAGACTGGTCAGGCTGTTGTATGTTAGCTGCTATTTCTATATATTACTAGTCTGGATGTCTTAATGATCTGCAGCCCGATAATAGTTTTGACTCTGTTCATAGATAATTCATGACTACAAAAAATAGGCAGCAATCATCAAAAGCTTTTGGCAGTGAATTCTTCATACAGCTGTACATGATGGTTGTTTGCCTGTGCATAGATGGCAAGTGAGTCCTATTCCTCTGTGAACAAATGAAAACTCCCAAATGAGGAAGGGGTAGGGCACATATTGTCCAAAAGAAAGCATACTTTTCAGTGGTTACACTAAGTGGTGGTACTCAGATATAAATATTATCTCAGCTCTATCTGGGTGCTTACAGTAATGAAGACCTAAGACAGGGCTACTGACTGCCATAATATGATTGATTACAGATAAGCACAAAATATATATTTTTGCGATTCTGAAGAAAATGTAATAGTACTATAGTTACCACATTTCTTCATTTCTTCTTTCTCTTCCCCACCCCATTCCCTCCAAATATTCAATCATAAACTTCACACACTTTTTTTTTCAATGAAAACGTTGATGAAATCAGGAAGTTGTCACGCCGTGTATCCCCCCCCCCAAAAAAAAAAAACAAACAAAAAAAAAAACACAACTAAAAAAAAAACAACAAACAAACAAAACAAAATCAGTATTCATTAAATAGCACTGTATGACAACCAGACAGTTTGCATGTTAATCCTTCAATCCTCATTACTGTTGTAGGGTCACCAAGTTTACTATGATAATTTCAATTATTAATTTCATATATAAACTCAAGTCAGAGCAACTGGCTTGTAGTATCTACCCCATATGGCCTGGCCTGGCTTAGCTGTTATAGGCATTAGTATCTTTGTTGGCTAGCTGTGAGATGAGAGCCCTTTTTCTCCTTAAGAGAGATGTTGCCATACTCTCCAGTAGGATTTGTGGGTGCTCAATAACTCTAAAAAGGTCACTGAATAGTTAATATGCTATTAAAGCCATGGATACATACTTTACCTTTTTCATCAATACAGCAAGGCAGATTTTCTTCTCAATTACTGTATTATAGCAAATTTTGCAGTCATGCTGTGTGTCATTTTGGCAAAACGATAGTAGTAGTGTATGGATGTTTAAACTTTATTTTTGCATCCTTGATTTATTTATGCAAGTGAGCTATCTTTCATGAATTTTAATCTAAAGACTGGGTTTACAAAATACCAGCACATCTGCAATCACCAATAAGGCTGAAGCAACACTATGAAAGGAGCTAATGTCGAATATTTGTAAGCTCTGTTGAGTTTGTGTCTCATCTGAGGCATTGTTGCATAAAATGCATTTCATGTTTTGAGGAAAAAATATGACTAGTCTTTAGTTATTTTTAAGGCAGACTAGGGGGACCATTGGGAATAGTGTGATTTCTAAGTTTTCTGGTAGGAATGCTTCCCAGTATAAGTGGTGAAATGCATACCTATGAGTCTTTATTCATTTAACACAT